GTACGGGATATATTTTTGCATCAGTGTCAATATTATAGATACTGTACAAACCTAAATCCAGAAAACTCTGCTTCAATTCTAATAGAAGCACCGTAAATTTCAATCCTTCTTGCAGAAATCACCACATTAATTTTTGTCACAGGATGATACTGTAAAGAGAAGATATTGAATTAAAAAATTGATTGGGAATCACCACTGATTTGCTGATTTTATGGCTATTTCAACAAGTCTCTCAAAATGCACTACAGGAATTGACATATTTAAAGTCTTTTGGTTAAAATGGGGTCAAACAGGGTTCTCAGAAGAAAACAAATTAGAGAGTTGGACAGGCAAAAGATACAAGAGTTTCTGCAGTTAGATACATGACTTTCAAAATGACGGTAGCTCATGACCACCAATAATTGGGGACTACAGTGTAGTTAGAAATCATGGAATCGAGACCTCAAAGGTCTTACATCTAAAAATCACAATGAAGATCGCATGCATGATTGCARTGTCTGGAAGTTTGAAAGATGTACTGGTATGTTTACTATACAGAGGCTGGCCTTTGAGACCTCGTTTTTGTGCTTAGTCCCCTAGGCCCTGGGGTTAGGGTTAGCGACAGCTACCACTGGGAACTCTGGGTCAAAAGGAGAAAGAATGCAGATCAATACTCACAGAATCATCAACATAATTTTCAAACAATTTCACAGCAACAATTTGATTTTCTTCAGACAATCCAAATATCAGAGGAAAAGACATGAACATTGTACTAAGACTCTTCAAAAACCCTGACTTGAAATGAAGCATACTCTATTGTAGAAAAATAACACCATCAGTTACACAACATACTCTATTGTAGAAAAATAACACCATTAGTTACACAACAACTATTGTTTAATAAAGTTTATAATATATATAATTACCTACTACAGCCAATCCCATTGTTGTTCAGTTGTTAAAATGTAAAGACAACAACAACATCATTTTTGCATATATTATACTTTTAATTTCTTTGCAAGAATAAATTCAACAAAACTTCTTTACGGTGTCAATTATAACATTTAACTTGCTATTTATCTAAAAGTTTAGAATTCAAATTCTTCTTGGGAATTTCTATTTCAAATGCAAATTACTTTCTTTTTGTTTTTTTAAAACTGAACAAGTTTAATGGGATTGACTGTATTTCTAAAAAGGTTGTCACATGAAATGGCGAATGTCAATTGTAGAACGGTGATTGCATGACCAAAAGGAGACATGGGTTTTGCCAACTGATAGAAAATAACAACTGATTTATACTGCAAGAWAGTGTGTGGCAAACATAAGCTCTATTTTCGCACAAGGCGGAACCTAACAAACAAGTGCGTGATGCTGTTTGCCCTTTTCTCCAATATTTCTTATTGCCATTTTGATTGTTATTGAAATTTCAAAGTTCAACAATTTCACCACACACAGATTTCACCAGAGTAAACAATGGCTCAATCCACTGTTATTTGCATTTAATGTACATTATGTATAGTGCCAATGAAATATACTTTTGCTCAAGTCAGAGTTGGAGAAATGAATATGATATGTGATACACCTGAGATAAATATCATCAATAATAAATGCGTGTAGAATAAAAATAAAACTTTAATTGAATTACCGATCGAGATGATGTTGCTAACACTTTGCCAGAGTGGGACAAGAACTTGAGTGTCACCATRAACATCCCTAGTAAGGATATTTTCATTATTATTGACATTTACTCATTTAACAATAACACAACCTTGATACAATGCACTTAATTGATTAATGCCTGCCCTTTTGATTTGATTTTGTTGAAGCTACTGTATA